TTCCGAGTATCTTCATCATCTCCACCTCGTCCTTGTTCCCCTTGTCTTCTTTTGCGCCTCCGTTCTCCTTCTGCTTCTACTGCTGCTTCTTCACGATGTTGTCCACGAAATCTGACACTACCTTCTTCATCTCCTTGTGCTCCTCATCCGCTGAGTCTCTCCGGTGGCGCTTCTGCGGTGGGTCAGGGAGGGAGTCCAGTTGTGGCGTGGCAGTGGGAGCGGTCGGTGGGCGAGGGAGAGCGTGCGTGGCGGGAGCGGCTACGGTTAGGCGAACGCGAACAGGATCTCTTGTTATGCGCTCGATCATGGTCACGGTCTCGGTCACAGTTATCCTTGTCTCGTCTTTGTTCTCTATCTCTTTCTCTGTCATGAGTTCTATCACAGTCACGGGCGATGTGTTGGGCACCGCCATGGGTAACGACTCGTGGGTGAGTTCCTACGTGGGGTACTAAACATAGGGACTAATTTGTAAAATACAAAAATTATTTTTTTCCAAGTTACAGGTAACAAATCTAAACCATTGATTATTATAATATTATATCTAATTGTTAAAAACAGTGTTTCATCCATGTACCACATTCTTTGGTACTTCATGTTAGAATTTTTGTCAAAAAAGCAGCAATAATCTTAATAATTAATCATGCTAAATGGTGTTCGAGTTTCACATGAACCACATGCTAAAAAACAAAAATAAAGTAGTTCACGCATGAAGCACTTAAATGGGGGTGCACGGTAGAAAGCATCCAAAGAACCATATTATTTGTCCGTAGACAACGCCTAGAATAAAAATGTAAAAGCGAGAGGTTAGATATATTGCACCGATGGATTCTAATATGAAATAGTACAAAATATGCCTCATGGATGAATCATTAGTTTTAGCCATTTGATATATTAATAAAAAAATAAATGTACGGGATTGAAGGAAATTGAAGGAAGGCAACCCACATAACTAGTAAACTCATCCCCGTTGAACACGCAGCGACGTCACTGTGGCTGGCGTCACCATGGTCGCACGACCGCACCCGTAGCATTACCCATAGCGTCATCGTAGTGTCATCGTTGTCGCACTGCACCGTACCGTCGCTGCACTCGTAGTGTCACCATGGTCGCACGACTGCACCCGTCTCGTCATCGTCGCCGCACTGCACCCTTAGCGTCACCCATAGCGTCACTGACTAGAGATGGCAAAGTGGGCCATGGCCCGCGGGCCGGCCCGTTGGCCCACCAAAAATTGGCGGGCCGGGCCAAGCATTTCAACCCGCCAACCCGCC